TCTTAGCCTCTGAATCCAAGGCTGAGCACAGAGCTCATACATCGTGGGCACCTCCTAGGTCCATATCAAATGAAGCAATTACCCTATTTTAATATTCACAACCCAATGAGGAGGAGATTTTTTTAATCTCCTTTTTACTGAGGATGCTGAGGCTCTGAGAAGATAAAGCACTTGGCCTAAACCACACAGATAATAAGCTGGCAGAAGCAAGAGGAAGCAAGGCTGGAACCTGAGGCCATCAGACTCCCAAGCCCTGCTCTTTTCTACCATTTTATATGACCTGGCTCCCAGGCCTCAGTCAATGCTGGGCTATGAGAGTCTCAGGTAATTTCCTAGCTTCTGACATATCTTAGTCAATTTAGCAGGGTGGACACCTAGGTTGCATCCATCCAACTCCACGCACACCACTGCCCACAGTACCAATCAATCACTCTTCCACTGAGCAAAGTAAGACCTTTGATTCCTTATCTACACCTATATAATCATGATTGATACAACACTCCTAGCCAGGGCCAGGACTTGGACAGGGGCAGACTTTCCTTGGGTGCCACTTTTCTTGGGTGCCAAAGTTAAGGGAGCATCAATATCTCAGTAACTTGTTCTTCCCTTGTGGTTAAGGCAGGTTAAGAATCTGCCTGCCAGTGCAGGCAGACATGGGTTCGATCCCTGGTCTGAAAGGATTCCACATGCCTCAAGGCAACTACAACCCTGTGCCACAACTACTGAGCCTGCGCTCTAGAGCCCAGGAGCCAAAGTGACTGAACCTACAGGCCACAGCTACTGAGTCCACATGCCTTAGAGCCTGTGCTCCACAAGAAGAGAAGCCACTGCAATGAGAAGCTTGCACACCCCAACTAGAGATTAGAGCCTACTCGCCACAACCAGAGAAAGCCCATGCATAGCAATACAGACTCAGTGCAGACAAAAAAAAAACCCACTCAGTAACCAAGATAATATTTTAATGCAATATGTTTAAAAAAAAAAAAACTGACAGAAAAAAAATTGGTGATGGATGAAAAGTCAAAATCCTAAGTCAGAACAGGAGGGGTACTACCAATTTTTCTCCCACCTCAGGCTTCAGTGTGGCCTGGCAAGGCAGCGCACTCTGCAATTCTCACAGGTGAGCAGAAGTGGTAGATGAGCTGACACCTCCTCGCCACCCACAGTGCGTCTGCCTGGCGAGGAACGTCTGCCTGACTTACCTCACGGAGAACTCAGCAGAACAACGTGAACACCTGGCATTTTGTTTGCCAATATGTGATGGTATCTGTCCTCCCATCAGACGTGGAACTACAAACCTGAAAATTATAAGAGCTCTCTTAAAAGACTGGGCTCTTTATTTAAAATTTATTTTATTGATGTATAGTTGATTTACAATGTTAATTTTTACTATACAGCAAAGTGATTCATTTACACACATACATACATTCTTTTTCATATTCTCTTCCATTATGGTTTATCACAGGATATTGAATACGGCTCCCTGTGCCAAGCAGAGGGACCTTGTTGTCTAGCCATTCTCTGTATAACAGCTTGCATCTGCTAATCCTAAACTCCCAATCCACCCTTCCCCCGCCCTCCCCCACCGCCTCGGCAACTACAGCGCTGTTCTTTATGTCTGTGAGTCTGTTTCTATTACATAGATAAGTTCACTCATGTCATATTTTAGACTCCACATATAAGTGATATCATATGGCACTGTCTTTCTGACTTACTTCACTTGGTATGATAATCTCTAGGTCCATTCATGTTGATGCAAATGGCATTATTTCATTCTTTTTATGGCTGAGTAGTATTCCATTGTATATATGTACTATATCTTCTTTATCCATTCCTCTGTTGATGGACATTTAGGTTATGCCATGTCTTCACTATTGTAAATAGTGCTGCAATGAACATTGGGGTGCACGTATCTTTTCAAACTAGAGTTTTCTCCAGATAAATGCCCAAGGATGGGAGGGCAGGATCATATGGCAACTCTATTTCTAGTTTTCTAAGGAACCTCCATACTGTTCTTGTACCAATTTACTTTCCCACCAACAGTGCAGGAGGGTTCCCTTTTCTCCACACCCTCTCCAGCATTTGTTATTTGTAGACTTTGTAATGATGGCCATTCTGACTGATATGAGGTGTACTGCATTAATTTTGATTTACACTTCAAGACTGAGCTTTTGTTTATCAAAGCAGTACACAAACATGTAAGATAATGTCAGATTAGGTCAATATCTGTGAAGGAAAGAAAGGAGAGGAGAAGGATCATTTTCACTACACAGCTTCCAAGGCCATCTCTTACCCCATAGTCTATGTGAACAGTGCCCCCTAGAGGAGCGGAGGCCACATCTCAGGTGCAGAGACGGGCAGTAACCTAGGCCCATAGTGGCCACTTCAGCTAGGCAGTCAAGGAGGCATGTTTCAAGGAACGGACATACATAACTTGAAGACCAAATGTAGGCGGCTCAGAGCTGAGGGGACTAAGGCACCAGGGCTGGCACGCTCTTACTGCCATGACAAAGTACCACAGACTGTCTGACTTAAACAACAGGCATGTGTTTCTCACAGTTCCAGCAGCTGAGAAGTCCAAAATCAAGGCGCCGGTTGACAGGTTCCTGATGAGGGTGCTCTTCCCAGCTTTCAGCAGGCCATCTTCTTTCTGTGTCCTCGCGTGACAGAGAAAGAAGCAGGTTCTCCGGTGTCTTCATATCAGGACACTAATTCTATCATGAGGACCCCCACCCTCATGACCTCATCTAATCCTTATTATCTCCCAAACACCCTGTCACCTTTAGAGATTTACAGCCTCAGCATGTGAACTTGGGCGGTGGGTAAAGTGACCCAATTCAGGCCAGAGCAGAGTCTAACAATTAGAAGAAAGACATGAGTTGTTAGACATAGTGAGCCAGGGAGAGGACTGCGGGGGATGATACTGGACATCCTGCAGGATCTTGAAACCCATGGTAAGGAGTTTGGGTTGAAATGTGTCAATAAAGGAAAGCCACAAGAGGGCGTTAACTGGAAGATGGTTGATCCAATTACCATATGGCAACATTCACTCTGGTTCTGGATGATAGATAGCTGGTTGGAAGGGAATAGCACAGAGGGTGGGTAGTTTAGTAGGAGGTCCAGGATTGAATCAGGGGGAGGCAGAGAAGATGGAGAGGAACAAACTCAGAGTCAGAACTGACAGCACTTGGTGATGGATTTGGAGAGACAGGGAAAAAGGACAATTCTTGGGTCCTGTCTTAAGCAACAGGATAGAATGACTGAGGTAATGAAAGACTGAGTAAAAGACAGAGGTGAGCTGCAGTTTGAGCGAAGGGAGCATTATTCCATTCTCTATGGAGCAGGGATTTTCCACCAGAGATGAGGGTATGACACTGGAGGGAAAAGAAACCTACGTTCCTACTGAACACCCCTGGCTGAAAATAATCATCCAAAATTTGAGTCTCAATCAATCCTCCCACTTGTGACCTACTCATGGCAATAAAGTTTATTCCCAATAATACTGCTGCAATTTTTTATTCATCATACTTGTGTTTTAGAATTACCATAGCAGTGAAATTTATATTCAACAGCATTATTACAATTTTTGGCTGCTAATGAAATTATTGTTTCTGCTTGTGATGTGTGTTGGAGCTATAATGATAAAAATTTCCTCTCAAAAATACCACTGCAATGTTGATGTCCTCAAAACCTGCCATAAATGACAAATTGCAGAATGCCTGTGAGCAGTTAAACTCTCTTCTCAGAAGAGCTGGGCATCCTGTTTATATCACAATGGGATCTAGCCCCATTAGTAGAAGAGAATTAAAATACTGAAGCTTGAAACTCACAGACCAGGACTGAGGTTGCCAAACATTATTTCCACTAGTAAAGTAAAAAATAAAATTGAACACAAGTCCCCAGAATATTTTTTAATTTATAATTATACATTACTTCTGCACTAATATACTATATATATTATAGCCCATGAACCAAAAACAACTTGAAGAGGATGAGATAAAAAATATTGGGAATTCCCTGGTGGTCCACTGGTTAGGACTCGGCCTCGTCACTCTCTCAGGGAAGGTTCAGGTGCAGGCAATGTGGGAAGACCATCTTCATCTGTTCTAAATTGGGAGATTTTTGAGTGAGAAGTTTAACTGAACTGGGCTTTGCAGTTCATAAGATCAACTTTGAAAGCCACCACTCTGCAGAGCAGCTAGGACTCCTTGGGCACACCAGTTATAAGTTATCCACACGGGTCCTTCCATTCTCTGTACTTGTCATTTCTTCCTGTTTCCCTCTTGACTTCCTCCAGGTTCCAGGTTGGAGTCACTAAAACAGCCTCCAGTGGTGACCTGTTAAGTGTTCAACTGGTATGAGGCAAACACTCAAACCTAGGGATGTGGCCAGATATGGCCACAATCTGGGTGTTCCCATAACCACTTTTATATGAAAAAAAAAAAGATTTCCAGAAGAAAATACGAAACTTTTCAAGACAGGATTAGATAGATTCTATCCTGCAGGCACAAGGACCCCAAAGTCACTCAGAGAATCCTGTTGTAATTGCTCTGATCTTTCCCATCAGTGCTCTGGCCTGGAGAATTCCATGGACTATAGTCCATGGGGTCACAAAGAGTCGACATGACTGAGCGACTTTCACTTTCACTTTCTCATCAAAGATCCAAGATAGACCCCAATAAAATGACCCATTTACTCAAACAGACCCTGGAGTTCTAAGCCTGGATTTGCCGTGAATTTACCAACCAGTCGTGGGCAGGTGACTCAGCCCCCTGGGTCAATCCCCATACCTCCATGGAGACTTTTTCCCCAGAAGGAATTCTTCCAAAAGAGGAGCTGCTGCTGTATCTCACTCTGACTTCTGCTCTTCTCTCCAGCCTGCTTTGGAGCATCTTCCCAATCTTTGGATGCCTGTTCAAATCCATTGCCCAATAGCAAGCTCAAAGAGTGGTCTCTAGGAGTTCCTAGAAAAATGATTATCTGTGCGATTCACTTGACAGTTAATCCTGGGAGGCCATGAAGAAGTGTTGCCCTGAACTGTTACTGTGGTGGTGGTGAAGTTTTATACATCCTTCCTGAATCCCGGGGGTAGACCAGAAGTATCTGGAGAGCAGGAATGCTTTTACGTCTTCCCACAGGGAACAACATAGCACTTGGCACAGAGGAGGTTCCCAGGAGACACTTGCTGAATTCCACATGCTTCCAAGGTTATTGTCAGTTTCCTTTAAATCCTGTGAAAGGGAAGAGAAGTACCCACCTGGTGGGGCCAGGCCGAGGAGTGAGTCGGCCAGCTCAAGCACAGCACGGGCCATAAGTCAGAAACTACCAGCACCAGACACATTCATCTCATAGATGCATTTGATAGTGTTAACCAACTTTAAATTTTTAAATTTTGTTGCCAACATTCAAACCTCCAGGGATGTCTCTCATTATACACACATGCACATAAGCAATCAAACATGGAATGCCTACTTGTTGAGAAATCAGAATTCATCACTCTATGTGCATTCCTACCTGGCCACAACTGGTGAGCTCTTCCCTGGTAGCACTAGTGGAAACCCACCTGCCAATGCAAATAGATCTAAGAGATGTGAGTTCAATCCCTGAGTCAGGAAGATCCCCTGGAGGAGGGCGCGGCAACCCACTCCAGTATTCTTGACTGGAGAATCTCATGGATAGAGGAGCCTGGAAGGCTATAGTCCATAGGGTCGCACAAGAGTTGGACATAATTTAGCACGCATGAATGCAAGGAGCAACAGTCTCCTCTGAAGAAGCAGAGATTTTCTTGGTTCACAGGGTCCTCACCATTCACAAGGTATTTAACGCAATGTTAAGTGGAGATCTGAGACAACGTAAGGAGTCTTGTTTCCTAAAATCAGTCATCACTCATTTGTCAGAGAGTGTGGAGTGGTGGAGACTGTGACCAACTGAAAGGACAAGCTCTAGTTACCACTCACCTGGTGCATTTCATTCATGTGCATCCCTGCCTGGCGCCTATAGTCACGTGCGTGTCTCGTCTTTAGTAGGTGCTTTGGAAACAGTAGTTTCCTGACCCACTTCCCCTGCCCTTATGTTCGTCTTCCAGCTCTGATTTATTCTGTCTTTCAATAACCTAATTGTTTCTCTTGTGTCCTTTCATTTCCCTTTCAGATTTGTATTCCCCTGCCCCGTTCTGCCTATGGGATTCTGCTGGTAGGACACTGGAATCAGACCTTACCTCATTCTTGGAGTCTCAGCTACCGCAGCTTGACCGCTGGAGAGCAAGTAAATGAGCAGTCCAGTCAGGGAAGAGCTACACCGCCCAGAACAGAATTAATTCCCGGGGCTTGCGGGACCTGGCAGAACCAGAACCTCACTCAGTCACAGGACCAGGACGCACAGGAAGGGGAGCGGGGGCAGCTGCCCTGGATGTGGACTTCACTGCTTCAGCCCAAGGTTGCCTCACATCTGTTATGCCCACAGCCCTGGCTATTTGCCAAAGGAAAGGAGGAAGGAAGGAAGGAGGGAGGGAAGGAAGGAGGGAAGGGGAGGGAGGACGGAAGAAAGGGAAGGAGGGAGGAAGAGGAGGAAGGAGGGAGAAAAGGAAGGAGAGAGGGGGAAGGGGAGAGAGGGAGAAACTCTGAGGTCCCAAAAACATGCTCATCATGGAGACAGTTGTGAGCCCAGGAGTGTGGCACTACCTGATTTTCACAAAGCTACAAATGCAAAATTCAGCTTGTCCTTAAAATTCAGTAGCGCTAGAATGAAAAAGAAATGCTTGGTGGAGTTGTGACATTTAAACGGTCATGCATTTTTCAGCGTATCAGTTATGCAAAGATGTTTATATTCACTCTCTCCTCAGTCATGTTTCATTGAAATGGAGTGGGGGAAAATGTCTTCAAAACGTTTAATTAAATAAAATAGAATCAAGGAAGTCAGCGTTCACTAAAGCAGACTTTAAAGGTGAAAAAAAAGTAGAAACATAAATCACATAAATAATAAGGGGAAAATAAAAGCCAAAGAGTAAGTTTAATACATATTCTTGTTATCTGTACCGCTTGCTGTTTCACCTCCAAGTGAATTTTTATTTTGTATTATGTTTCTGAAAATCCAGAAAGAAAAATGTCAGTAGACGGCAACATGAAAAGGTTCATGGGAGGCTGAGTTCGTCTAAAACCTTTAGTGGTAAGGAAAACATTCTTCATTTAAAGAGGCAGTTTCTCTTTTTAAAAACGTGGAGCTGCATGGACAACTTTCAGCCATAATCTTACGAACATGCAAAATGTAGTTCTATCAGGTCTAATGAAAACTCCAGATAAATTCAAGATCATCCGTTTCATTTCTATGTTCAAACATAACAGCTTTCATACTTAAGATCAGGACAGCAGTGATAATGACCTAAACTTGGGTAATTCGTTTGTTGACAGCAGGTGATATTCTGGCCTTCTTGATAGTAATCTGTTTTTTGGAAACAAGGGAGAGGGTTATTTGCCACAAACATTTATTTTTATGGGGAGGACATGTTTTATAAAGCTGGATAAGGGACAGTACAGGTGTGGAATTAATTGTCCAAGTGGCAAAATATGTTAGCGATGGTATGTTAAATCTATGGCACATAGTGACCCTGACATGATTAAATGTTCACTTCTATTAAGTAACCACAAGTCTGCATTTCCAATTATGGTGGTGAACTGCTTTCTGCTGAGTGGATTAGCTTAGTACTTCATGCTGCTGGTAGTTTTACGATCTGAGATCTTTAATTTTCCCAATTTAACTCTTAGGGCTGCAAAGACAAGCTGCCAGACTTTTAAATAATATATTCCCCCTTTAAATTTCTGCCTCCTACCATTTCCTAGGAGTGCCATTTCCTGTCACCATAATTATAATAATTTGTATGTAGTTCCTGGGATCACATTTCTAATTGAGTCCTAAATTGGTTAACCTCATGAAGTTATTAATATGCTTTTTTAACCTGCACAAATTATATATTTGTCTGGTTGGTCAAATAACGTTCACTATTACATATATTCTTTGCCTCTCTTCCTCAGTTTGAATGTCACTATTTTAGTTTGCAAAGTGTACATCATTTTTTTTTTATAATATGCTAAAAATTACAGAACAGTATGAGTTGGAAAGGAAGCGCTAGGTTAGGGATGAGTAAAAGCAAAGTCTCAGTGGAATAAGAGATCACACTGCATAGGAACACTGAGACACAGCTGTGGCACTGGGAAAAGTTGGTGCAGAAGTGGTGAAAGGTAGGAGCTGAGAGTTCAGACTGCCCAGCCAGGCCTCGGGGTCTGCACCAAGGCTTGTGGGAGCAGTAGTCAGCTCAGCAAGCCTTCTACTAAGAACCCCTCCAGAAAACCCCCCATGATCAAAGGACTTACTCTACACAAGGCCCCCATACATATTAAGACATTTGCTCCAATTGTGTAAGTCCAAACCCTGTGCAGACAGTGGCATTCACAGGTGTGAAGATTAAATAAGATCTTGAGACTGTATGTCTCTATCTTGAAGATTCATATAATCCCCTTTTTCCGAATGGCCTTTTATTTAAATGTTTCCTGAATCATGTGTCCAAAGGCCCATGTTGATATAAAATTAATATCTTCAGAATTCCTTTTTGTCTCTGATGACACAACCAGATCGTTGGTACTGTATTACTATGTTTTGTGGGGACTCTGTTCAAAATACCAGCAGTGGGTTTTATCAATATAAAATCATAACAATTTGCATCCATAGAATTCAACTCTTCCAAACCTTTCAAGAAGGTTTTGATATTTGTTAAGCCCTGAACGTAAAGCAATTTAGAGGTATGAATGCATCTGTAGCTCTTTTAAGGTCCTCAAACCTGGGTGAGTAAAAGGGATATGGAACTGTCAGGAAATTTCAGCATTATGTGTTTCTGAGTTTACTGGGCAAGGAAAGATTGCCCACAGTTGCCAAATTCATTCTGATAATCTGGAGAATATTGCTGGTTAGAAGACATTCATTCAATATCACTGAAACGATTCAGTCCATATTGTTATGATCTGAATGTGTGTGTCTCCCCAAAATTTATATATTGAAATCTTAACCCCCAGTGTGATGGTATTTGGAGCTGGGGCCTTTGGAAAGTGATTAGGTAATGAGGGTGGAGCCCTCATGAATGGGATTAGTGCCCTTTATAATGAGACCCCAGAGAGCGCTCTCACTTTTTTCATCACATGAGGACATGTTGAGAGGATGGCCAAGTATAAACCAGCAAGCCAATCACTCTACCAGACACCAAACTGCCAGCAACATGACCCGAGATTTCCAGTCTCCAGAACTGTGAGAAATAAATATTTTTTAAGCCTTCCTGTTTATTGTATTTTTGTTGTAGTCCCTGAATGCACAAAGGCAATGGCGGAACAGATTTGTCTTACATAGCTTTTATGTCCCAACAACACCTGATTTTGGAACCTGAAGTAAACCAAAGTGGGGATAAGAAAGGGAACAGTTAAATTTCTCACCAACGCTTTTTTTTTTAATAATAGCCATCCTACAAAGTGTATTATAACATCTAATTGTTGCTTTGAATTGCATTTCTCTGATGATTAGTGACACCGAGCCACTGATATATCTGGTAGTCATTTGTATGTTTTCTTTGGGGAAATGTCAATTCAAGTCTTTAACCCATTTTTTAAAACTCTGGTCATTGGTTTTTTGCTATTGAGTTGTAGGAATTCCTTACATATTTTAATTTCCTCAAGAAAAGGGACAAGACAAAGACACGTTTAACATGATGACCACACAGAGGACTGCTAAGGAGAGGGCTGTATTGCCAGAACAAAGGTAAAACTCTCCCAACAGACAAGGTGGTATTACAGACTGAATGTTTGTGTCCCCTCAAAATTCGTTTGCTGAAATATAATTCCCAGTGTGACTGAATGAGGAGGTGAGGCCTTTGGGAGGTAATTGGGTCACGAGGGTGAAGCCCCCAGGACAGAATTAGTGCCCTTGTAACTGGAGGAAGAGACCAGAGGTCTGTGTCTTTCAGGCCCGTGAACACACACTGAGAAGTCTGCAGCAGGAAGTGAGCCCGCACCAGTATCTAACCATGCAGCACTCTGATCCAGCACTTCAAGCCTCCCAGACGTAAGAAATGAGTTTCTGTCATTTACAAGTCATCCAGTGTACGGTACTTCATTATAGCAACCCAACACACTCAAACAAGTGGGAGAAACTGAATTTACTAGTCAGCTATCTCACATCTTTATCTCACTTTACA